AAAATTGTGAAATGCCGTATTCTGTCCGAGGTCTGTATGATAAAAAGTACTGTTTCACCTCAGATGTGATGTACAAAAAGTATAAAAGGTTGGTTTACACACCCTCAGATTTGTTGGCAAGAATTTGTAAAGTAAACCTGTCGAAGGCAAAAAAATGCGGCCTAATTTGTTTTCGAGGCCTAATCTACTGTGATCAAGAGCCATTATGGCTCTTCAATGTGATGGAAGATGTTTGCTATTTTTTGTGTGTACATATATTTAGGCTATCAACTCGATGTAAGATGTTTCACTCTAAAATAACTTATCCTTTCCCTCAAAAGTCACATGAATGTGCCCTTAAGTCAACTGATTTGTGGATTACAAGTTTATTGTTTGATTTAAAATATAAATTTATTAATGGGAGCTTCGCTTTTAGCCCTGGCTAAATCTATATATTATAGAATAGTAGGTAATACCATGTACTAACTCGGCGTGGGAATACTGAAATAAAGTTGTTGCCGTTGTTGTTGTTGTTGCATGCAAGTATTTCCCGGGAATTATTTCAATACCAAACTAAGAATACCGTTCCTTGGTAGCATTTTTATGTTCCTGTAATTTGCAAGGCTTCAGCAAGCCTGTGGAGATCATTTTTTTTTTCAACACGAAATTCTGCCTTGAACTCAGCTGCATCCCGCATGTTTTTTAACGTGAACGGATCGTAGCTGTCCCGAGGAAAATCGGGATTTTTGGACCCATAATTTTCCCACAAAACGAGAAACTCTTCATCCGATACATGTTGTCTGCATAGCAAATATTTATTCTCTTAATTCTTTATGTGAAGCCATATTCTCCTCTTCGGTATTCTTCTAATTAAAGGCGCCGTCCTTCTGAGTTCACTGCGATCTTAATGTTCTATTTTTGACGGGAAGCGACGGCTGCCTTAGTTCCAGGCTTTCTCTGCCAGTCCGGTCGCCGTCGCCCCGAAAACGTCTCCATCTTAAGTTCCCTTTTTAAGATCCAACGACGGCGCTTAAAAGCTCCCTAATCACTTTGCAAAGGAAACAATATTAGCCACCGATAGGTAGTTGTTGAGGATCTCCTTGTCAAGGTTAACCTTTTTCAGACGTGGACGCACATGCTATAGCTTCAAGGGTGAAGGAAACTCCCCAGTTGACAGAGACTGATTAAATATGTGCTATTTATGATGGGAGATAATAAATCGACGTAGGTCTTTATTGCATAAGTAGGAAGTGGGTGGAGGGAACATGTTTTTGTGGAAAGAAAATGAATGGTAGAGCAGGTTAAATTCGTGAGCCCAAGTCGAACGCTGAGATTGCATTGAATTGTCGACTGCACTTTCCTGGATTTCATTCTTAATGGCTTGGATATTTCAAATAAAGAAGTCATTGAAAACTTCAACCAGCGTTTACAAAGATGTATGAGAGGGCCGGGCTGTACTACCAGGTTGAAAGAGTTTGTCAATAATATAAAAAAGTACATTTCTTCCTGCTTGTGATGCTTGCTCGATCCCAGTTATATCAAGAAGATTTATGAAGCGGGTCTTGTTATTAAAATTAAAAGCACCTTTTATTAGAAGAAAATACTAAAGAAATAAACAAAAAAGACTTACGCTTCTTCAGATTAAACCTCTCTAGCCTCAACAAAGTCATCATCCCGAGGACTAAATCCACGGACGCAAAATAGTCTGAAATTGACGTCGTTTTACTCTCAAAAAGTAACTGTCTATTTTAGCAGACAGTTGATAGTGAAGTGTCCGCATTAGGGGAGGTTTACTTTCTATGAGAATCTGTTACCCATTCGCCCCTGAACCGCCTGTAACCACCCGTGCGGATCCACGTCCTTTCTACCCTTTGTGACGTCATCAGTTTTAACGTTCAAGGACAACTTTGTCCACTAACTTGTGCAGAGTGAAGAGATCTTTCAAACCATACCAGAATGAGCACAATTCAGTCAAAGACACCGGAGGAAGAAGCAAAAAAACCATGTGACATTGACCTGAAAATCTCCATGAAAATGTTGTTCCATTATATTGCTCACCTACCTTTCCTTTCACCTAATCCTAAGATCCTAAAAGTTTTCCTAAAAACTCTTCCCACCAAAACGAAGCCTACTGAATGCCCAGCAAGAGGAACAAAATGAGGCAAGAAAAGCGGGGAGAGGGGAGGAGAGAAAGCGAAAAGTAAAAGTCATGACTTCTGTGTCACTTGTAAACCCAAAAACTATTGCGAAACTTTCCTTTCTGCGCATGCCCGAACTTCGCAAGCTGATACTTTGCATCTGGATCAGAAGGCCGCGAAATATACGACCGGTAAACCAGTTTGTGGTAATCTTTAGCTCTTTATAGCACGACAGTGACCAGAAAACCACTCGACTAGCTTTAAAACAAGTTTTTCGGCAAAATCTCCAGGAGCGAATGGGTTAATTGAGCAAGAACCAGTGACCACCGTCCGTATTAACCGGGGTCCGTAGTAAGTGGGTAGAATTTGGAGAAAATTTAAGGGTTTTCCTCAGGGACAAATGAAACTGCATGGTGTCCTTATTAAGCGGGCGTCCGTAAAGTTTAGTTTGTCTGTATCTGAAGAAGATTAAAGGGTAGTTATAACAGGTAAATGCCAACTATCCATTATTTACCTTATTTTCTCTTGCATTTAACTTTTCTGTTTTGTTTTTAATTTCTTAATTTATAAGTAGGTTGAGTTTGATCATCCGGGTTATCGTAGTCCTGAATAGGACTGTTGTTGTTGACAGTGACTGACGTTTCGACAACCTCAGTATTGTTGGTCAAATTGTCAGTTCTCCAGACGACTGTTTAACTGTGACAATAGACGGATCGAAACGCACTAGTTACTGATTACGAGTCTTCATAGCCATTAACATCACGGCTTAATAGACAGACGACCAATAACATTGCGACGTAATTGACCAGTCAGATCGATAACCAGAGTATAATACCATCAACTGACGTGATACAACTCACTTTGACTCTGAAGATGACTACCGCACAGGTTGTCGAAACGTCAGTCATTGTCAACAACAACAGTCCTATTCAGAACTACGTTCACCCGGACGATCAAACTCAACCTACTTTTGAAATGACTCCTGGGTTCAATCCTTTCACAGTTCTTAATTTATCTTCGACATTTGTTGCGGTACGCACGTGCGTACTTCTTCGCCGACATTAACAAACACAATTTGCACAAAGGAGTCACAAACCGCCGTCTGTATGTGCTACTTAGACGGATATAATCAGGCTACGAATCTTTACTTCAACAAAATATTTTAAATTTGCTATTACGCCCTTTGACATAAAGCTCTAACACTAATATCTTGAAAATTCGTCTTTCCAACCTGCAATGTTCCAAAATAATGTGGTTTCCTTTCAATTAATATTTTTAGTAATTCTCTTAGCTCTGAATTTAATTCTGACCTAATATTTAGTGAGATTTTTCTAGAAAAAAAAAATGTTGACATATTTTTCAGTAAAATTCTGGCAAATCTTATCAGCTTCGTAACATTGTTTGTTTTATTTGGTAATGAATCCTGACAGATTCGCCTTTTATGGACTGCATTTATTTAACTTTACATTTTCGCCTCCTTGATTACGGTAAGTGAATTTTGAAATGCAAATAACAAAACTAAATTAGCATGTCTATCATCATATGACAAAAAATTGAAAAAAGCGCCAAGTATATTTTTTCCATATAGACTGATTTTCATTTGAAAACAAGAGAAGAAATAGGAAGGTCGTAAATTGAACCGCGTTACTTGGACTAAAGAGCATACCTGAGGTCGTGAACAGTTCACAAAATGTAGAACTGAAAAAAAAAAAACAACTGAGTTCTGGCCGGTGATATACGATTTAAACCTTAAGCAAACGCTGACCATGATGAAAAGGATTATAACAAATTTCTTTTCGCTAGACGTTTTATTCAATTCTTGTAGAGACTTCCTAGAACGTTGTAGGGTCACTCTAAATATTTGAAATCAATATATCACCAAGCCCCTCAGTTGGAGAGCAAAACGACCCCTATCTCCCTGAACTTGTATTGCATATGTTCGTGATTATGGTCAAACGGTAAGCAGCTATATCATTATTAGTAACGCATTGTTTGAAAGTGAAAGGGCTTCTGAACAAATACCAAGCGTGCAACAATATGGAGGGCCACCCTCTTTTTAAATAAAGTTGATTGATTGATTTATATCTAATATTTTTAGGCCACAAACTAATATGCGTACATTCATCGCAGTCACAGAATTTTTTTTCCTGAAAACAGGCAAAAAACTAAATTTTCAAGGTAAGGAAGTCACAAAAAATATCCTGTTTTTTCAAATTTAGCTATAAAAAGGTTAGTCAAGAATATCACGTTAGCCATCGTGGCGAGGTGCGACAACTGACTAGAAGTTTTGGTCGGTAATATAAGTTTTTAGGTTTTAGAGCGGTAGGCAGGCTTATGTAACATTCTTCTTTACCAAAAGTTGGGGCTGGTAATCGAAGTGAAAGCTTTTGGGAATAGTTTGGACCGAGTGAAGCTTCGCGTGCAATTATTGATTTTGTTTTAATTGCCAGAAAAACAACACTGTGCCTACACGTAGCCAAATTTAATCATAATGAACTAATTGAATTTACTATGAAGTAATGAAAGTAAACTAAATTTTAGCCTTCATCGATCCTGCAAAATAAGTATTTTTAAAACATCTCTCAGTTCCTATCACGCAAAATTTGCTTGATTTATAATTGTATTTTCTCTAGTGCGAAATCCGTTTTGGCTTATCGCTGTTTAAATGTCAGGCACGAACGGCAACTTTCGGTCAGGCAAATTAGATCAGTACATTATAACACTCGGTTTCGCTCTTCCTTACAGAAAACCGAAAGGGCAAACACATGCTTTTCACTGCATCCATTACGTTTGTAAACACATTCACTGTATTTGTCTTCTGGACACAGCCGAAACCACCTCAAGCGAACACGCCTTCTTCTGATTAAACTTGCAGTCGCACATATGCTTGTAGGGATCGTAGAAGGCCTTCTTTTTCTTGGGAACGGACAATTTCAAAGAATAAGAGGCATTGTAAGTGATGAAGGAAACGCTCAGTGGAAAGCAAATCCTGGGCCAGCGTTTCAACTCTTCGCCTCAAGTGTATCCATATTTTTCCTCGCGTCGGTCTCTTTAGAACGCGCTTTCGCAGTGCTGTGCCCGTTTCGTCATGGCACCACAAAAACTCGATTTTATATTTACATTGTAACTGTCACCTGGGTTATTGGACTTTTTTACGCTCGGTCTTTACTTGGTAGCCTTCTATTACCCGCCAAAAGTAAAGAGAGAACATTTTAGCGTCACGGTTCAGTCTTCCCTTTTTATTTTATTGTGTGTGATCTGTGGTAGTTACCTGAAAATACGCAATCGACATGCGATCGCTTGCACCCGAACTCGACATTCTGAGTCGTCAATCTGCTGAACGCAATCTACGACTTTCAAGAACAATTTTTGTTACAATTGCTGTATCCCTCAGTGTTCTCGATGCCAGCTGCTGTTGTGTACATAACGAGAGAATTATGCCATCGATGTTTTCCGTCACTCATGATTACAACTGTGAACACAGGGTCCAGAGGAGATGTTTTTGTCGTTAGAACATCAAAACCCGTCGAAAACGTCTGAAAAAATGGGTTATTTTGATCGCGTTACAATTTCGTTAAACATTCTATATAAACCAAACCAAGAGACTGAGGGCTCGCAAGATCGTGTTACTGGCGTTCCTCGGTCGCCCTTTGGGCGACATGCCGTGCACCAACGAGGCTATGGCTTGCGGTTATTGATTTTCAAAATGGCGAACAACAAAGTCGATCTGGGTCAGATAAGAAGCGAAGAAATCGTGTAAAGTAAATTCGTAAAGATCCCGTTGGGCTAATTAATCGTGCTAAGCAACAAGTATAGACATTTTTCAGGGTGAGACTTTAATAACTAATTAATTTATTCACACGAAACTCCTCTGGACGCTGTGCTGTGAATGCAGTTTGCATCTGGCAAATTCGATGGTGAATCCATTCGTCTGCAGTTCCAGGATGCAGATATTTAAAGACGCGCTGAAGAAGCTATCGCGAAAAAGACGTCAAAAGGTGGATGTGAGTTCTGATCCCACAAAAAGGCGGGGATTGAGCTCAGGAAATGCATTTCAGCGTCCGAGAATGGAATGATGCTACATCCTGCCAATCAGGCATTGAGCAAGAATTGGGTGAAGTGGAACCTCCTAAGCGAAGTTAAACCTTTACCTTTATTAAGTTAGTAAGGCCGGTAAGGCATCACACAAACTGCTAAAAAAGAAAAGAAGTACATATATGTTCACCAGGCTAGTTTGTATTGTAGTTCATAAAAGAAGTCACTTACTCCTTGAACACAGCTAGCAAACCCTTGCTGGGAGCTGATACCACTCCCTAAATATTTAAACACTGATATATGAAACATCTCAGCACCGTTAGCCCTCCAATAAATTTAGCCTTGGTTGTCATAGTGCTGGCAATAGGAGTCACATTCCAAATAATCGAAGCACTTTCAACAGCGATTGATAGCATGACTTGGATGCAGAATTCAAAAACATGGCAAGCCGGTGGTCCACCTACAATAAGGAAAGACAAAGTGTTTCTTATACTCAGTAATCGATTTGATCAAAAACAAACATTACCTCAAAATATACTTTTCGCTTCAAAGAAATACCTACCTTGAAATAATACACCTGACTTGCCAGTAGCCAGGAATATTAACAATCAAATTTTAATAGTTCAACAGTACAAACAGGAAAAAATTACGCGTATGATTGTCATCTTAAAAAAAAAAAGAAAAGAAAAACACATTTTAGTCATCTGACTTATTGAACAGCGCAAAGACAACGACAGGAGCGGAAAAAAGTCGCCAAATCGATGTTTACTCACCTGACTATGCATATGCATGAACCTAAGGTCAGGACGAATTTTCGCAGCGTTCATGAACTGCCTTCAGTCATATTGCTGGTTTTCAGTGTCATGCCATTCAGATCAAAATAAAAATCAAAACCGTTCAATAGATAAAGTCCAGAATCTGGGAAATGAAAGGAGGTATATATGCGAAGACCCTCGCCATGATTCAGGTCAGCGGAATGTTTCGTATACGAGACATCCGAAGAAATGTTTTACCCAAATATATAGAGATTTGTATGGAGACGCCATGCTGGTTCCCAGCCCGATTAGCATCAACATAGCGGACAGAAACCAACAGAAACATCTGTTACCGAGTTTTGCTACAAAAGCGTGAATTTATTCTTCTAGGAACTCATAAACATTAAAGTAATACTTTTTCTACTACATTAACTGTTTAGATAGCAAAATTGCCTGAAAGAAGTCATTTTTTTAACCTATAGATATGACAAGGCTCTTGGCCGTCATGTAAATGCCGCGTCACCGAAAAGCTTACAAATTCAGGCGTACTCTATCACAAAATCAAGAACCCGTTTGAAACGAAAATTTGTATGAAAATTAGTTTTCAGCTGCTCTAATACATCGTGTAAGTAAAATCTCGGTAGGATTGATAGTTTTGTAGTGTGAATTTTAGTGACGTCATGTGAAAACCAACAATAGGTCACGTACGTTAAGAATTTCAAATGCGTCACGGCAAAATCGGTAAACAAGCTTAACTTGTATAACCAGTCTGGCTGGTTTAGTCACGTAAACCTGTTTTTATGGTTTCCCATATCTCTCTTTTAGTTTTACGGAAACTGGTTTCAGCAAATCCCAAGGGATTATAAAAGCTAGACCATCATTGGATGGCTCCTCTTTAATCCAATTAATGCGGTCAAAAGGGAAATACACACGCCTCCTAGAAATAAAGACGGGATGCCTTGGCATCCCCTAAAAAAGTATATACTAAACTATATTCATTTTTGTTCCCTTTTTCTGAAAGTGGGCTCAGAAATCAACTGAAAGTGACCTACAACAGATACGCTAACTAAAGGCTCTGGCTAAGCAGGCCAAGGGAAACGAACTACAGGTTACCTTTCACTAGATGTAAATTCATTACTACAGCCTGTAAAATTCTATAAACATGGATATATAGTTGCATTTTTGTTGGGGAATGAAGGGAAGCTTTCAACAAGATTTGACCAGCCTTAAGCCTTTTTTCCCCGCGATCAATATTCAGTTTACTCGATCGATAAATTGATAAAAGACGCCCTCTTTCCTAACAGATCACAGAAAGAGCAAAGAGATGGTTTCTTCGACTTTTACTGCGTTCGTTGTCATCTATACATTGGAGGCATTCGTTATCATTGTTGGAAACACGTTCACCATAATTGTCTTCTGGAGCCAGCGATCCCGATTAAAGCGAACATATTCCATTCTTATCAACCTCGCAGTTTCTGATCTGCTTGTGGGGATTGCCGAACCAATTGTGCTGGGCACAGAGAAGATTGCTAGGATGACGGCCATTCCAGGTAAAGAAAAAAGTTTTACAAATCCATCATCTGCATTTCAAGTCCTTGCGTCGACTACTTCAGTGCTTTTTCTCGCACTTATTTCCTTGGAACCTGTTTATTCCGTTTTATGGCCAGTTCATCACCGTACGACCAGAACTCGGTCTTACATTTTCGTCATAACCGTTGTCTGGGGTCTTGGATTCTGCTTCTTTGGGCTGTCTGTATTATCCTTATATCATACAAAATCAAAGAGGAAATATGTTACTCTAACCATTCATGTGTGCCTTTTCATAGCACTATTAGCGGTTTGTGGAAGTTACCTTCAAATACGTAGGAAATGGCACTCAAACGTCATTCCTGGTGAAGAGATACACTCTCGCCAGACAGCTGAACGCAACTTACGACTGTCAAGAACAGTTCTCATGGTTGTCGCTGTGTCACTGGTGTTATGGTTGCCAGCGACTGTTGTGTACACTGTCAGACCCTTTTGCCGCCCACCATGTGTTAGACCGATTGTAATGTCGGTTGTAAATGTTCTTCATCTGGCAAATTCTATGGTCAATCCGATCGTCTACAGCTTTGGAATGGCAATATTCAAGGATGCTTTGAAGAAATTGTCGAGAAGATGCCGACGACATTCTGTTTGCATCGAACCCGTTCAGGTTACTGACAGAAGCTCAGGTGGTACTTTCTCTCGGAAAACTCAACATACAAGATTTAATTCACCTGAACTGGAACCCACGGATGACATCTCAACACATGTGTGAAATATCAGAAATAAGACCTTCAATCATCAAACAATATTCAGTGACTGTTAGCAAACAGAAAAATACAGCAAATATAGATAGAGTGGACGGTACTATAAAGGGGAAAAGCAAGCGTATAGTAGGTACACTAATTCAGTATTACAAATGAAAGTACGGTTAGAGTCATAGCAGTTACACAGTTTTGATTAATGGACAGTGTAGTATGTTTCGAGAATGTTAGTACTGTATTTCATGATCATTGTTTGTGTCATTCTTCTCTTAATATAAATGGAATCTTTCACAAATCTATTTTTTGGCGGTAAACATGTTCCACTTGTTAATCAAGACGGCTATTCCCTTACTAATTTAAAGAGTTCCAAAATTTAAGTTCGGTAGTTTTCTTAATCATATCAATAGTTTCGTAAAATAAGATATCAGACCTAAGGTACAATTCTTAGCAGCCTTAGTTACGAATTAAGCTCAGACAAACGTGTTTTAGCAAAAAAATTATTTTAATCAAGATATGTACACTGAGCTCGGACATAACTGAGTTGAAATCGTGTTTACAGTTTGTTTTTATAAGTAAACTGAAACCTGACATATATGAAATTATGTAAATGAAACTAATATGACGAGCATTATTCTAGGTAAAAAATTTGAGGATAGTCATCCTCATCCGTTTATTACCAGTTTTAAAATCGACAAAACCGATGGAGTTTAACTATGAACTCGACACTGAAAACTTGTCATTTAAAGTAATTTGGTCCATACACATATCGCGATTGCCATTGGTAGTAAAGCCGGAAAAGCAGTGTAAATAGCAATGCATAATGTAAATAAAACTTCGCATCAAATAAGCAAATGATAATTTGACTATTTATCCTGTTGTTGAGGTCGCAGCCCGTTCCTATCATATTTGTATCGTATCTTGTTGCTATCAGCATTTACTCGTTGACTGGGACAAAATTTAGACGTCATGTTTGCAGTTGTACTAATACATTTACCTCACTGAGGTAATGCTTATCATTCTTCCATCAGATTGGATGTCTGTGAGAATAGATATGCAGTTCAAAATTGGGCATGTGTGCAAGTTATTAAAACTGTTCAAAGTTTGTCAACCCTTTAAACCCTAAGATCAAAATTTGAATTCTCATTTGTTGCCCACTATTCATTTCCTACAGAAGTAGTAGGGAGAAATTGATAAAATATCAAGCAAATTCAACTTGTGTCATCATGACCGTAATTCTCATGACCACTCTGTTTTACAACGCATTGATATTACAAGGATAAATTTAATTAATGCTGATCACTCTTAGGGCTTAAAGGTGTTAATATCAATATCCAAACACGTCTGGACTATATGAATGGAGTAAATAAAACGAATTAGAAATATACATATCAAATATGTATTTTTATATTTTTTCGCATGCAACCCTAAACGAGACCTTCACGGCTAAATATGATGGCGTTTTGCCCAGGACACTTTAAGTGGGACCAAAATTCGAAATTTACACCCCTAAGCGAGACGACGAGCATCCCCACCCCTTTCATATGCGGAGTTCCCCCCTCGGGGAGTTTAAGCCTTACGTATGCGGCGAAGGGCAAACGTCAGATTCAAGTTGAGAATTTCTCAAAATAAGTCGGCCTTAATGAATTCGAGGTAGGTTCGGCTCATGAAAAGTTCGGCGTCTGAACCGGGCCTTAACCTCTCTAATAACTAAGTGAGCCACCGTTGCTATGTTTCCTCTCCTACTTTACTCTCAGTCTCTCTTGCTCTCTATCTAATGTTTCCCTTTTTTGTTATAAAGCATTTTATGGCCGGTTTATGATATTTTTCTTACCAAGGTTCTGTTTAAAACAATTAAGTACTTATTTTCATCAGCTATCAAGACCATGACCCTTTACGCAATCTTTATTTATTTCAATCAGCATTTTGCACGCCCTTTGGCTATGGATATTAGATAACGATGTATAAGTAATTCTAAATTTCTACTTAAGTAATCTGATCACATCAGTTTATCCTCGCACTTCCTTTTTGGCTGCTTGAATCCTTTTGATACGATAAAGATTTCACTACAGTATGCACAATAAAGGACGAAAGCATTTATAGAGAAACTGCGTTCAGCCACCTTTTAATTAAGCCCCACTTATACGGCGATCAGCAAACAACAAAGACGCGCGCGAGAATGATAATTGAATGAAGTCCTCTTTCATGATTTTAAGTTACGATGTTAAGAATGTGAAAGCACTCGGCTTGTTAAAAACGGCCAGTGACAAACGATAAGCGTAAGGAGCAGCGGAAAAAACTGTCACGCGGCCATCTTCGTTTGCCGTTTTCCGCTTTTTCATTACCTTGCTCAATTATAAATATCCTATTTGATCAAGAGATTTAGAACCACCGTCACGGCAAACATGCCAGCAAAGCGTCAAGTTGTACTACGTGACCAAGGTTTTCCGATTTTCATGATATTTGCAATTAGTATTTCATCCACAAAAATCAAAGACGACTGTTTCGATAGACTTTGCCATGCGATAAGCGGGTAACTTGCCTTATCTGGTTTGTTTTTACGGAGAAATTACTTAGTTTACTTGCGTTTGTTAAACATGGCCGACATCAGAAATACTAAATTACCTCGACCTACGCGTGTCAACCGCACCATCTCGCATCTTATGAACGGTTGTGTCAGTAGCATGATATCATTTAATCCTCTGAGCAATTATCCGCACGTTAGCAAATAGATAAGTATGATAAGATGGGCCGCCGATAATTACCCCCTTTTATGTCTCCTCCCCGGTTTACTGAAACACTAACAATAAACCCCCTTTTACTGCCAACAGCCGAGCTTTGTTTGCTAGACGCCTAACTTAGGAAACAAAGAAAACCGAGACTGTGGTCTGGGATTAAAAAACATGGCCAAGTTAATGGCCGGTTTTATTCAAAACTGTAAAATCATCTTATCAATGTTAAAATATGAAATAATGTTTACGAATTTCTAGGTCTAGCAAAGGTGAGGGCCAGAAGGAAAAGGCCACGGGTCGCTCCTAAGCGGCCCAGCCCCACCCGAAGGCTGTTGGCGAAAAGGAGGACGAAAACACAACGCCTGTTTGTGTTTTCAAGTACTAGTATCTAAAGTTGTTCCTATTAAAACTCGGAGTTCTAATATAACGAAGAAAAGCGCTGGATTTCCAGCGACCTAGCAAGCGAATTTGGGAGTCTGAAAACCCCTTGGCAGATGCGCAGCTGGCAGCGCCAATGCGAAAACTGTGCGCTTTATATGGCTTTGTGTCTAAGTTACAAAATGTAGGTGCTGCGTTAAGTCGCTCAACAAAATAGGATCTAGTAATCGGACTTCCGTCGGGCCAACAAAAAAGAGGGCCGGATACCGACCCTCGCAGAGCTAAAAAATTTAAGATCAACTGAACTGGACAGCATGACCTTTCAGGATAGATAAAAATAACAAAAAGTGGCCCAGAATTCTTATGCTTGTAGTTATGCAAAGTAAGCTGCAGTGCCTGAATTCGGCCCTGAGCATCAACCAGTCGGTCTAGTTGCGAAAGATTTTAAATGATATTGGTAGTGTTGCCTCGAGAGGCTGTTAACTCCCCAATGCGGAGAAAAGCGAAAAATGCCAAAGCACACATGGCATGGCACACATGAGACGAGACTGGTAATGTGATGAAAGGGAATGCTCGAAAGCTCTAATTAACTTCCGTAATACTGGTAAAGTAATAGGTAACCTGACATCATTGACGGGATTTAGTTTCCGATAACCCTTTAAAATTTGTATAATAAGTGGCGTCTCAGTAGGATCAGCGACACCAACAAGTTTATGAACGTAACCATGAATAGCAGAAATGTAAGTGGTTACTGACGAAGAAGAATAACTCCTAGAGTATAGATGCGCGATAAAAAGGGTCAGTATGGCCGGTTGAAGAGGCAAATTAATAGGCATATCACCTAAATGAGAAGCCGACCAATCTGTAAATAACTTCCAAGGTCGTTTATAAACTGATACAGAAGCGTTACTCAAGCTTGCCTCCAAAAGAGTTTTTGTTATAACTGCCAGTTCTCTGGTAACAGTTGGGGAGGCACATGTACAGCTGTTGGTTCTGGGGCCATGTCCTTCGACAGGGATTTGAATTTGGTCACCTGTAAATGCGATAAAGCATCAGCTCTCGTGTTATGAACGCCTGGGAGGTGTACAGCTTTAAATAAGATATTATTCTGCAAACATGATAGAACCAAGGCGCGAAGAACAACCAACAGCTCCCTATCTTTAGTCGTCTTTTTATTAATTACTTCCGACAAGGCTTGATTGTCGGTGTGAAAGGTTATGCATTTGTTCGCCAGCTGAGTACCCCATATTTTTATACTGAGAACAACAGGAAACATTTCTAGCACAATAATATTCTTAGAGGTCCAGGATGGGGGCCACGGACCGTAAAACCAATTCTGACGAAACACCGCTCCATAGCCTAGAGAGCCAGAAGCATCAGTATAAAGATGCAAGTTAGGTGATGAAAGCCATTGAAAATCTAAGAAGAATGATCTGCCATTGAAGTGTGTTTAAAATTCTAACCAGAGCTTAAGATCGTCCTTGACTATACGCGTTAATCTAATTAAATGAGTCGGGCGATTGACCCCAACTGTCAAGTTAATCATTCGTCTAAGAAAGGTCCTGCCGGGTATAACGACTGAACAAGTGACGTTCAGAAGACCAATAAGGGATTGCATCTCCTTAAGGGAGACTTTTTTACGCTTGAGAAATTCATAAATAAGAGTAACACATTTTCCCAGCTTTTCTTCTGGGAGGCGAGCCTCCATTTTCTCAGTGTCTAGTTCTATTCCGGTCAAACATAAAACACTACTGGGACCCACTGTCTTTTCAGGCGCCATGGGGACACCCAAGTCATCACACATCGCTAAAAACCTAGACAGATTTTGTTCACAAGCTGAGAAAGTTTTGTCTATGAGAAGGAAATCATCTAAAAGGTGTAAAACACCTGAGATAGCTAACTTAGACTTAGCAATCCACTCGAGAGCGGCTGAAAAGCTTTCCCAAATTTTGCAAGAGGAACTGGCTCCCATCGGCAGGCACTTATCAAAATAGAAGCTGTCCTCCCAACAAAAACCTAACAAATCATAGTCGCATGGATTTATTAGAATTAGACGAAAAGCGTTTTTGACATCTGTCTTAGCTAGGGCACAGCCCCTGCCTGTGCGCCTGATAAGTCTAACCGCATCGTCAATCGAGGCATATTTAACCGTAGAGGCATCGTTAGGAATACAAGAGTTAATAGAATCACCGTAAGGAAAAGATAGGTGGTGAATAAGGCGAAATTCTCCTGGCGTCTTTTTAGGAATTAAACCAAGCGGAGAAATGCGTAATGAAGGAAAAGGTCGTTCTAAAAATGGCCCTGCAGTCAGGCCTAGACTTAATTCTTTTGACAGTTTATCGGAAACGGCTGCAGGGTTTTAAGTAGCGGATAAAAGATTTTTGCAACTGGGGGGTTTGTGGGGCCCTACATAAGCTAATAAAAACCCATGTTGAAATCGATTTAAAAGATAGCCTTTCAATTTAGTCGGATAGCCATCTAGGTAAAAATGTAATCTATTTACTTTGACTGGTGTTGGTAGTTGGACTGGATGCGACAGTGCGAGAGGGGGCGACAGTTGGTTTTCCCGACTTGCATTTTGTGGCAGGGTGATCGCCTCCACATTTAAAGCAGGCGTGTTTGAAATTACACCCAAAACATCTTTCACCTTGGTGGAGTTTCCAGTAGAATCCTCGCGGAAAGGGCTGCTTTGATTGCCGGTTAAACAAGTTAGGCGGATTGTTTGAGGATGAAAGTTTGGTCATGTGGTGCGCCTGCAACCGCAATTCCCAATGCACTTCGTCCCAAGGGAAAAGAGATTTTTGACGTAAATAGCGAAAATTTTCATCATAATAACGCCAATGAGCGTTTTTTTCCGCCAAATCGCGCACTGTCGCACTGTATTTCATTAATCCGGGAGCGCTGTCCGGAAATCGGATGGTATAGACGGCAACAAAAACCTGAAATGTGGTAGTCCATTGATCGATGCTAGTAATGTGCTTAGAGTTTTGGACGGGTTCGAGACTGACCACAGGCTGGTTGGATCCAGATGATTTTACCGTGAAGTTGTATTTGGGATCGCCTGGCAAGGACGATAGAAGAGTTCCGAGATCGATATATTCGTTGGCCCATATTTTAGATTGAATTTTGTCCGGAACTCTACTCGAGAGTGGAACGGAAATTAAGGTATGGATTTTATCGGGCCTGTGGTCGGTCTCTGGCCCGCTAGTAATGGAGGTAGAAGTTAAAGTGTGGCCCTCACCAGTTAGGTCTTGAACAACCTGCGCTACTGACCCCTGTACAGCAGCAGCAGGGATGGATGTCTGTACTGGCTCTGGAGGGATTATTCCTGCGGACTTCAGGCTTTCAAGTACAGCCGAAGAAATAGCACTCGTGATGCTTGAAACCATATTCTGAGAGACAACTGAACTCGGGGTCGCGGGACTTGAGACTGAGGATGGCCCACTGATCGCCGGCTCTCGGGAAAGTTCGCTTGGGTGCGGCACTTCGGGCGAGTTGAGAGCAGGAACCGAGTATACTCGAGAGGTCTTCTTGGGCCTCTTGGACTTGGTGGGGCGAGATGTACTGCTGGCCATGGCCCTCGGGCGTTTAACTTGTGCGCTGGAGGCTGGTCTTCACTAATCACTCGTTAAAATCCGCTCTGCCATTAAAGCTAAACCAAATAAACAACCTACAATCGAAATGTTGAATGATTATGGTGAAACAGTATTAAGTAATCTCATTGCCTTTAATGTCACATCTGAAAAAAAAGTACCATAGTAACGGTAATCAGTTGAAAACACGGAAATTTTAATATCTCTTTTGAACCAAAAATGTAATTCATTAGCACTAAAATCACATAAGCGGTATACGATCGAATTAATGTAAAGGCAGTTTTTAATTACTTTATTTCCAATTCATTTCTTTGAAAACTCAACAAGAGCTAAAGCGCCTGTCCAACTCATGCAATATTATGACCAGTTGAAGTTTTTGTTCTAGGGAATAGCAAATGGTCAATAAATCACGTACGTACATTTTGATTTGGTTTGAACAAAAAGTGTTTGGAAAGAAAAACAATAACAGACGATTTTTTTTTTTCGCTTCATCATTTTTATAACTAGTGGGTTTTGCTTCACAGCTGTTTCGCATACAGAACAAGGCATCCTTTGAACTTTTCGCTGGATATTTGAAAAAGTTAATTTATAAAAACAATTACCAGCAAAAAAATGTATTTATCGACGTCCATCATCTCCGTGGTCATCTACACAGTACAAGCAATCATTATCATCGTTGGAAACACGTTCACTATCTTTGTCTTCTGGACTCAGAGATCTCGCCTAAAACGAACTTATTTTCTCTTGATCAACCTCGCAATCGCCGACTTTCTTGTGGGGATTACAGAGCTAACAGTCTTAGGAACCGCTATATCACAAATCACGACAGATGACTACGCAGTACTAAAGCAAAGCCAATCATATCCCTTCGTGGCGTTCGTCCTCCTATCCTCAAGTACCTCCGTTTACTTTCTGGCGCTTATCTCCTTGGAACGAGCTTTCGCCGTCTTATGGCCAATCCGCCATCGCATCGCAAACAGTGGAGTTTACATCAAAAGCATCCTTGTTGTGTGGACAATTGGACTGTGTTACTTTGCTTTAACTCTACTCTCCTTCCATTACCCAGAAGTGAAAAAGAAATACGTTTTCGTGTGTACTAATACATGTCTTCTTATTTCTCTCTTGGTTATCTGTGCCAGTTATCTTAAAATACACAATCGATTACGTGCACCATCACCCGAGCTTGATATCCATACCAATCAGCTAAGAGAACGCAATGTGCGGCTTTCAAAAACACTTTTTATCGCAATTGCTTCATCGCTTGTGTTCTGGATGCCGGCGTTTGTTGTCTACTCAACGAGAGAATTATGCCTGCGATGCATTCCTGATACGGTGGTGCCCTACGTGTATGCCCTACATCTGGCAAATTCTATGATGAATCCTCTCGTCTACAGCTTCAGGATGCAAATTTTCAAAGACATCCTGAAGAAATTCTGCAGCCGAAAACGACATAACATGGAAATGAGAGCTACACCGCAAAACACAGTGGATTTAGCTTGGAGAGTTTCTTTCACTCCAAAAACGCATGAGGCAGTTTCACCAACTATTTTATCAACTTCTGGCAATGATGAAAAAATACATTAAACGCGCACACACACTCATCCAAACTAATTGTATAAAGTTTTGGTTGGAGAATCCTAACCTAATAGTTTGCCACTTAATTGCACAATTCTCGACAGTTTATAACTCACTGAACGGTAAATTGATAGAGATATACTACAAACGTTCTTTTTGACGGTTTAAAAATGAAATTGTGTAGCCTTAAAGATTTATCACCTAAACGTATTCAAAATAAAATCTGAGTAAACATAAAGCACTCAAAATGTAAATCCAATGTGTGATTATTCTACATGGAAGACTAAATACTCGTTGGAACACCAGGCGACAGATTAAAGTTTAATGTTTGTGGAGCTGATAATTGAAAGCTTTCAAGGTTCTGGAAATCTGTAAGTACTTATAAATTACTATTGAATATATCATATACAAGTAAGTCTTTAACTTAAAGAGATAAATTTGAAAAGAGGGCCTTTTCATGCATTTCGTGACACCCCCAACGCACGGTGAAAATTTTAAATTATGAAATGAATAAATTTAATTTTTTTTTCTCTCTTATATTTATGATACTAAGAATAAATAGATATATGAAATATATTTAAAGAAAATAAAACCAACGTAATGTTTCTCATATCATATAATTTCCAAAATAGGAATACTTTTAGGACAGATTTAACGTATAAGTGAGTTGTTGTTGTAGTCTAAACGTGATACACTGTATTAAAGGGGCATTGAGTAACAGTTTGAGGTTTTTGTTAGTAAGGTATAGTTTGCTAATGCGCCCAGTGGACCTGATGGCATATTGGCTACATTTCTGCATATCTCGTTTAGTTGTCTAGAATAAATCCAAGATTACGAACTCTCTCAGTTAGTTCAACGTCAGTACTGTCAAAAGAGAGCTTCTCAATGTTAGGCGTCTTAGTATAATTATTCATTGCTGGCGGTTTTCAAGGTAGCATCTGTACCAGTTGCTGCCACCTTCTCAATCACTTTGCTAAGGAAAGGAATATCAGCCACCCGCCTGCAGGTCTTAAGAGCGACTTTCTGTAAATACCACTGATAGGTGTGCAAGATGGAAAAATCGAAATCTCCCAAACTTTGTCACATTAAAGCCCTTATGAAACTATTTAAGAAAATACAAGATTCAGTTTCTTGTGATTGATATTTTTCAGAATAATAATTTTTTTGAATTTTCACCTCCGAGAGGCCCTCAAACCACCGAAAAATGCGCTTCGCATCCTCGCATGATGAATAGAAACGGAAACAAATACCATGACTGTTGCGATATAAGATGATTTTATGGCCCTTCCTTTGTATGAAAACGTTGTTATAATTTCAAAAGATTCCAGTCTGAATTTTTAATTATTTTTCAAAATCACCCTTTTAAACAGTTTTATCGCGACTATCAATTTTGCCATTTTTCAACGGCAAAAAACCCTTCCTGGTACATGGCTTTCGTTCTGCAAATGCTATTCCAGAGAAAGAGCAATCCTTCTTCTTTCAATTTATGAAATAAAATTTTGGGGCAATTCAAACGGCAAGTTTTGAGAACTGAAAACATTAACGGTACTTGCGTGAAATTTACAACTTTTGAACTTGCGGTTGTAATGAGAGTAAAGTTGAGTAAAGAGTAAGAGTAAAGTTGGACAGCAGTTTAAATTCTTCGCGAATTTGATCCTTTTCCACCAGTTCAAAAACTAAACAAACGATTATTGACTTCATAGTGGCAATTATCCGAAAGGAACAGCATTTTTATTGTGCGAAATTGAGCTGTAAACATCTTAAACAACACTTCCCGTACGTGCGTATTTGTTTACTTTGAAGCCTAACGACTTGTGCCACTCATTATCGCAATATTCTATAAATAACAAGTATGCATCAAAATGTTCGCATTTCGTCTGAAAAAAATCGTAAAAGCAATGACGGAAGAATAAGACAAACATTTACTCACCTCGAATGTATATATTTTTGAAAAAAGACCAAAGTCCCGCAGCTAAACTAGATTGCGTGACATTCTCTTTGACTAGAACAAGTAAGAAGGGGTGGGGGTTGGGGTTGGGTCCAAGGCAGACAAAACTTTCCCCTGTACTTCTGATTGACAATGCATTCTGAGCCATAATCGCTAAGAAAAAGCTGTGTAGGCTTTCCAATAATAATAATAATAATAATAATAAACTTGGGAGCAGGAGCCGATCTCTTGTTGGGAATTTAAAAAAATCCCCAAATCCCAACCCCTCCCCCTCCCAGTAGTTACTTATTGCCTGACACAAAATAGTCCAGTTTCGAATTAATCGCGGCCGCTGAATAGAAGCACTGAAGACTCATTTATACAGGGTTAGCCTCGGCCTAAAGTTAAATATTCACAAATACCAGCTAGAAGGTGCCGGAATTTCAGTATAAAACAATAGAAACAGTTGTATACAAGTCTTCTTCTGACTGGAATTTGTGAATATATATATTTACCTTTGATCGAGGTTAACCCTGTACAAATGAATGAACGCCTGGGAAGAAATAAGTGATGGAATAAGGATCTGAAGGAATTTTCCGGCACGGGATCCTGGCAGGCACAATTTTGAGCATCATACCACAACTGGGGCATCAGGCATAATGTTCGATGCTGCAGTAGGAATATACAAAGTTGATAAAAGTCGTAGGCCTGATTTCCCGCCACTTATCAGTTTTTTTCTTTCGAAAGTAAAATCAAAGAATGTTGAGGCTGGAATGTTAATTTGATTAGTCGGTACAGACCCTAACTGTTATGACAACTGCATGCCACGAGAAGTTCCCCAAGTAGAGACAAGTAAGGAGCTTTGCGTCGTCCTTTGATGTTCATCACTTCGATGTCAAAATGTTCGCAAATGGAACGCAACATGGAAACACTTAGGTGTCGCAGTTTACCTGCCTTGTGCATGTCACATAGGTTGAAAGTGTCAAAAACAATTGGGTGCCTTATTCCCACCTCCTCTAACACAACTGCGCGAACATTTTCGTGCGCGATTTCCTCTTCAGCGGCCATAATATCCTCGTCTTGATCAGATTCTGGATCTTCTGAATGAGAATGCCGGAGTTTAGAGGCTCGTCTTGAAAAGTATGACTGAATTTGCTGTTCGGTCAAAAATTCACTTACAGTGAACAGCTTTTCCCCTTCCTGGTTTCGCGCGTAACGCATGTCACGTGCAACATCCACAGGATCAAGTTTCACTCCTGTTGCTTGCCCGACGTTAAATTTCCCGTCTAAGTACTGTCGCTGGGAATCACTAAACCGTGTTGCCTTTCTAGCGGATCTTAAAGCCCACCCTTGTGGAAGAACCTCAGTTGTTACCGGGCATTGACTTGACTCAGCTTTCACGGATGGCAGGTTGCTGGCCTCACAGAGTAGTTTATCATGGTATAATACTTTGGCCTTATCCATAAGACTTTCTCTGACCGGTAGAAACTCACATTGCCCATACAGCAAGTGGTTTTCCAAAGCATAGTGACGCTGATACATCTTAACGCAACCCTCGTGCGGACAAGAAAACATAGCGCTCAGGTCTCGGTCTTCTTCCTTCTCATCTGGATGTTGTTCACCAGTCTCTTGAAAACTGGGTTTTTGCTTATCGACCGCCTGAGGTACCTCTGAGAATTCCCCTGAGGAAAACTGGCACTCAAAGCCGGGCGGCTGTGAGTAATCTGGAACTAAAAAACCAAAATGAAAATGTAATACCATTACACAAGATTCAGCTCCGCAAATGGACAGTGTTTTTTTTGTTATTGTTGTTGTTGTTGTTGTTTAGGGGTATTTCGCGCAAAGGATAAGTAATAGGTGGTAAACTAGAGTGTGGAGCATGAGTATAACTTCAATAAGAAAAAGAGTTTTTTTTATTCCAGTGTGTTTTTTCTTGTCACTGTTTTTTTTCTTCTTCTTCTTATAAAAAATTTCATGCCGAGCGTGACGGCAGCATAGAACCTTGTACTCCACATTTACGGTTAAATATGAAGAATAAATGAAAAACTTTTCCCCATTTGTTTTGCATACCTGGTACCTTCTTTCCCTCGCCAACATTGTACGCTTTCCAAACAGTAATAGTTTTCTCAGAATACAAAAGGTTGTTTAAAGAGTTAACGCCAGACCACTTCAGTGAAAGTTGAGCATCCCTTTCGGTACTATAGGCATCAGCAATAACCGCTCTAACATTTGGTATTCCACCATTTGAAAGCATGGCATTCAAGAAGTCATTAGCATTCAACACATCATGACCTTCGTTGATGTATTTCCTTACATGGGCTTTGACAGTAGCCGCCTTTCTGTCGCAAGGACCTTTCCCTCCCTGGGGATCGCTGAAGTCAACCCTTCGTACTGCGATACCAGTTTTAGATTCCATTTGAGCACAGCTTGCCAGCATTTCAGCAGAATGGTAGCAGCCGGCGTTGTCTTGCCGTAGAAAAGCAGTTGTCAATTCGGGATGCTCATGTTTCAGGGTCCGTAAAGTATGTTCAATTATTCGCACAACAGTGTAGCTGTCCTGCTTGCAGTTCTCCAAAACATGCACAAATGCCTGGTGTTGAAAACATTGCTTGATCTTGCGCGCAACCACACTTATGTGCCACGAAATTCCCCGCTTACCAAACCAATCAGATTGCGACTCTCGGTATTTTGTGGGAGGAATTTCATGGCCCAGTCCTGAGTTACGTGAACAGACCTTTCATCAAGGGTATTCAGAATGGATGTTCTTGCCTCATCCTGTCTGCAACTTCGAAGCTGATGTGCTTTCCACCCTTTGATGCTGTCTACCGCTTGTCGGCAAGAATACGTCAAATCGTTCAATTCCTCTGGACTCACTTCGCAGTCCACAAAACAATTTTCGACTTTTTCTAGAACGTCCTTCAGGGTCTCACATTGCATACAGCGTTTGTCATGTGAATGATTGCACGTGCTTTTAAATGGATCCTCCTTACTATCACTCAAAGCATACGTACTGCAGTGGTCCGCAATGGTTACAGATTCAGCAACATGAGCCTGGAAAAATGGCAAAAATATTTTGAGACAATGCACTATAACTTGATAATAAGTAATTGATTCGAAAAAGATTGTCATTAGAAAGCGTAAAAGCAGAAGCGAGTGCATTAATATCAGGCTCTTGTTTGATCTTGTGAACAGCCACTTCAAAAAACTGCTGACTGTCGCCCATGCTCTCGCGCTTTCACAATATGGCAAGCCTTTTCAAATCACATACTTTGATTACAACTGATATACCTTATATTCAGCCTTCAAGTAATGCTTTGCTTCCTTAAGGAGATTTTTGATAATGGCTCACCAGGTCTCTTCTAAGACCGTACTCTCCTAAACGGTCCTTGCAAGGATTTCCTAACCGTTGCGCTATAACAAGACAAAATGCGAAGAATGGTCGATGGACTAAATGGCTTGAAATTTGTTTCATAGCAGTACTGCATGTATTGCTTAACAATACGCTGTGGTATCATATTTCGTATCACATTGGGTGTCTCCAAAACTTTACCAGTCGAAAGATGTAAGTACCGCTGGCCAAAAGGGAGGTCTTGAATGATGTGGGGGCTTGTAATGACTGATATGAAATGGTCCAGTTGAATGGTGTCCACACGCATTCTTGGGCTTTTTTTCAGGGGTAGTGGAACACCTCGGCCGAACTCTATTTTGTGCTTCCTGGCTATGGCAAATTTGAATTCAGTGATTCTGGGTATGTAGGCCTGAATTTTCTCTAAGGAAGTAAGGTCCGCCATGACTGATAATATTTGACGGCGCGTCGCCCAGCTTGATGCGTTGTTGTACGTTTCAGCCAAGGCCTCCAAATATTTCCTATCTGACTGAGACTCCTCTGCTATCCCCAAAGCTTTCTCCACAGACTTAGATTCCTTTAGCGCCTCCCATAAGGGACCAGCATCACCAGGTGCAATCACATTCAGAGCTGCTACAATTGATTCTTTAGCTTTTGATACGCGACTTCTTCTAGTGCGGAAACTTGTGTCTTGCCATTTTTTCTTGTACACGCCAACAGTACTTCCAACGTTGCAGGCACTTAAAAATTCATTTAACTTTGTTCTCTGTGCTCCTACTGTACGTTGGTCCTCGGCACCGGAAGACTCACTACTGTTGTCTGTATCTTCTGGAAGATAAAGACTTGTTTCCTGCTCAATAAAGAGTTGGCCCATTGATTGAGACAGTTGGTCGGCCTGCTAATGAAAAGACACCTTATTGCTTAGCCAATGCCAAAAGGGAAATTAAAAGTCCCTAATCTAGTCAAAGGTCTCTATAATTACCTATTTTTAGAAGCCTTCTTTTCCAAAAACAATGAAATTTAATCAATGCACTCACGTTTAAATGCTCCATCAGTTGACAAGTGTTGAATCACATTCGTACCCAGTCTTCCGATCGTTTATAAATTTGGCCAATTGTAACGTCATACACATTACTCGACTCCTCCTTATCTGAAATCTCGTAAGTTTCTAGTCAGTCCTCATCTAACACGTTCTTCCGGAGAGAAGTCCGCACTTTGATAAAAAAAATTGTTAAATTTAAAAGTTGTTTTTTCGTGCCGCTAGTTTGAGGCTACAAATGTTTTTTTGCTTTTTTCTTGCTTTGTTTTGTTTTTGCTTTTTTTCTGAGCTTCCCGGTCCCTTCAGTTCCACACCCGAGATTTGAAAAGCAACTATAATATACCGACTGTTAGCCTAGATATATCGTTCTTTTAACCGCACAACTTGACCCTGGTATAATTCAACTTACAACGTCAAGTCGCGGCTCTCCTGGACTTGAGGAAGTGGATTCTGGCTCTTCGCAATCCTTGTCTCCACGTGTTTCATCTTGGGATTTAGGCGCCGTTAATGTAAACCTCATCGTCTTCCCTTTGAATGCTTAGTCTTCTTCGACATTGTTTGCATATAGCTAACATTGGAATAAACAGATTAACTGTCTGTCGTTATTTAGCCGTAACCAGTATAGATAATAGTCTAGAATTGCCTACTCCAAATTTCTCCTCGACAATTAATTAAAAAAAAAAACAAGAAAGAATTTTGTGAGAAAAGAAATAAAAGAAATCATTCAATTGCACTAACGGCATGCATCAGCAGTCTTAAAACATTTATTAGAACACGATGAAAAAGTTATTCTTCTTTAAAATTGTTGGACAGGTTATTACAGCCTAAACGTCGCGTGGATCATAGCAGTAGTACTTACGAGAACCCACGGGCAATATAATTTGCGTCTGGATATACAGGTTTCTCGACTGAGCCATGTTTATCCCTCGATCTCCTTTCTGGTTCTTTTCATGCTGTTTCCACTTGTCTGGACAAGAACAGTTCTTCTTGTTGTTACGCCATCTTATTCCCCAAAGGTTCCGGTGACGAGGACATATCGTTGTGTTCAAATGCACCTCATCCATTTCAAAGCAACCTTGCAAAAGATATTCATATGTTTACTTAACCGCTTGGCTAGGGCCAGGGTAAAGTTTGGTTAGGCGTAGAGTTAGTCCTAGATCCCTAGGATTTGTCGCAACAGCATAGCGGGCAATGATGCGGAGTACAATTGTATTGTTGGATGCTTCGGCGTGTGTTTCTGACATCATAAGAGCACATTATTATTTTGCTCCCCAGTGCAAATTGGTCACCTTGGTCATTTCAGGAGCCCATGACACCATGTTCGGTTGTCCGCCACCGGTCCAAGCCCCTGGGAGACTCTAGGGGAGGCAGGAAATTTGTCCCACCTAGGCCCTTCGTAAGTGACATCTCAACCAACCTCGTCCCCAGGGCTGTTAGGTTGACTTCTAAACTAGTTTTGCAGTTTTTTGTACAATCAAAACGTTATTGTATAACGCCGGTGTAAAAGTGAGATGCTTTCGGTTCTTTTCGTCGGGAAAGAGTGTGCCAGTACTTATACGTAAAGGACTTTACGCTCATCACGTCATCTCTAGTTACAGGGAATTGTTGCGATGAACAATTTTTCGAAAGCACCCAGTATTCTATGGTGCTTTCTATGCGAGGAGGCTTCACCCGAAAGGGGTACCCTTTTCAAACGCTTTAGGGGGTAGGGGTCTCACAAGTTCAAGATGAAAGTAGTGAACGGCTAAGGAAATCTGTCATTAAGTTTAATTTAGTTTTATTTAGTATTACCTTGAGAGGTGCAGCGCAGAGGTAGATTTTTATCAAAATTGGCGTATCAAAAAGTAAGGATTAGACGTCGGGCCTCCTCGTACAACACTTTGATGAGTACCCCCCCCCCCCCCCCTCCCCCCCCTAGCAGTTTTCGACTTTACGCGATATTTTGGCGCCACAAATCTGACACAGAATTACAGCAGAAGAAAACACTGACCTGCTCTGGCCAAGAGTAATCTTGCTTCATCCAAGGTAGAGTCCTTTACATTTGTGAGCTTCAGATGGCCTTGAATATCCTTACCACATTCTCCAATTAAAGCGCACTCAACATTTGCAGGATTGGAAACACTTGGACCACACGCCCCTCCAACGAGTTTCGAATAACTACAGGTAGCCATTAACTACTCATTTTAACTATTCACTTACACGAATGGAAATATAAAACATCAAGCGAAACTACAAGCGAAGATCCGTTAAGACTTCATTGTATAATGTTCTCACGTTCGCGGTGGAAAATGAAATTGTCGTACACTGAGCCACGATGGCGCGCCATCGCTTCCTGACGTAATGCACGTGCCAAGGTACATTGGCAATTTTAATACTACTTCAGTCAAACATTTATCTTTCAAACACGAAGAAAATCTTTCTTATTGGTTTTATTGGCTGTATTAGTTTGTGTTATAATTAATTATGAAGCGGTTATAAGTTTGTAGATTGAATGCGAATTAGGACAGAGATCGGGTATTTACATTCCTCGATGAGAAAGTAAACAAAAATGTATCGACGCGTCTGGAATATATTTCTAAAAAGAAGGAAACTCCTTTTCGGCGTAAACTGAAGGAAAGACAGTACACAATAAAAAGTAACCAGTCTTCTTTTAATAGCTAAGGGAAAAGGCCGCATTATTAGTAAAAACTGCAACTGCGGTCCAACTTTACTCTTGTATTCGTCATTACAACCGCAAGTTCAAAAGTTGTAAATTTCACGCAAGTACCGTTAATGTTTTCAGTTCTCAAAACTTGCCGTTTGAATTGCCCCAAAATTTTATTTCATAAATTGAAAGAAGAAGGATTGCTCTTTCTCTGGAATAGCATTTGCAGAACGAAAGCCATGTACCAGGAAGGGTTTTTTGCCGTTGAAAAATGGCAAAATTGATAGTCGCGATAAAACTGTTTAAAAGGGTGATTTTGAAAAATAATTAAAAATTTAGACTGGAATCTTTTGAAATTATAACAACGTTTTCATACAAAGGAAGGGCCATAAAATCATCTTATATCGCAATAGTCGTGGTATTTGTTTCTGTTTCAATTCACAAAGCGAGGATGCCAAGCGCATTTTTCGGTGGTTTGAGGGCCTCTCGGAGGTGAAATTTCAAAAAACTTATTATTTTGGAAAATATCAATCACAAGAAACTGAATCTTGTATTTTCTAAACTAGTTTCATAAGGGCTTTAATGTGATAAAGTTTGGGAGATTTCGATTTTTCCATCTTGCACACCTATCAGTGGTATTTACAGAAAGTCGCTCTTAAGAATCTCCTTGTCGAGGTAAGTAAGTAATCGGTTTAATAACAGGGTTTCCACATTGTGGTTAAATAAAAATATGTATCAAATATTTACAATACAAATATACTATAAAAAAGTAATAGAACAAATAACGATCAAAAGAGAAAGTATTTACAATGATCGTATTAATAAAACATAAAGTACAATTAAGATAAGCTGACCTGTGCCCGGTTCTTTAGAAAAGAATTTAAAAATGCGCGAACTAAATAGACTAAAATCGTCACATTTCTTAAGATTAAGGTTATTCTTTTTCAGACGTGAACGTAAAAGTCATAAGATAGCTTCAAGAAAACTCCCCTGTTGACAGACTCCACTAATTGACTATGCTAGTTATGATAGAACGTAATTCTTTATTACGTAGGCAGGAAGTGGGTCAATGGAACAGGTTTTTGTGGAAAGAGACTGAATGGTGTTTTTAACGGTAGAGCAGGATACAGGCATCAAGTTAAATTCTTGAGCCAAAATCGGACCCTGAGATTGCATTGAATGGCTGACTGCATTTCCCGGAGTTCATTCCTAATGGCTTGGATTTTTCAAATAAAGAAGTCGCTGAAATTTTCATTCATTGTTTCCAAAGACGTTATAAGAGGGCAAGGCTGAACTTTATACCAGGTTGAAACAGTTTGTCGATCATTAATAATAAGAAAAAGTTTATTTCTTCCTGCCTGCTCCATCCTTATAGTTCTGTAATAAGACGATTTCTGAAAATAGGACAATTTATGAAGCGGTCATGTTATTAAAAATAAAAAAACACCTTTTATTCGAACAAAATAATAAACAAAATAAACAAGAAAGACATAAGCATCGTCAGATTAAATCTTTGTAGCCTCAACAAAGCCGTCATTCCGTGGACTAAATCCACGGATGCCCTACAAAATCGTTCGTCTAAATATATAGCTTATTAATCAAAACCGTTTTCTTCACAGCTCGTTTGAAGCCAAAATAGTCTGAAATTGACGTCGTTTTCCCTCAAAAATCAATGGTCTGTTACAGCAGACAGTTGATCATAAAGTGTTCGCATTAGGGAAGGTTTACTGTCTATGAGAATCTGTTAATTGGGCAAGAAACAATGACCGTTGTCTGCATTAACTGCAACCTCGTCCCTAGGGCTTTTCCCTTAAAAAATGGGTGGGGCGGGAAAAGGCCCTGGCATCGGCTGGTCACGTGTCCCCTCGTACACCCTAAAATCCTGGGTGTAATAAATTAGCGCTATGTGAAAAGCTAAAATAAGCGTAACCTCACAGCGCACGATCTTGGGCGGCCTCTTATATCTCTTGACGATTAACGAACGGTTTTACAAGATTTCCTTTTTGTCACAGACACTGGCCATGGTCATTTTTTGCTTTCCGTCGATTTCGATGAAGGGGGCAGCGAGTAAAATTTATACAACTTCTGTTTATAGAACGGTATAAATGACAAACAAGCCAGCTATCGTACATGCATTAAGTATGTACTGGTAAAGTCCGCTTTCTCGACTCCTCTGATATTTTATTTCATTTCTTCCGAAGAGGGCCGCTGTGCACAGCCTAGTTCTATTCGTCGTAACTCTCAGTCATATCATAGCGATACGCGTTGGTTTAGACTTAGCCTGTATGACCTGTATTTTAAAAAATTCATTGACCTCTGCGATCAAACGACTGGCAACAAATTAAAGAAAGACTTGGGTCCATTTCAAATTGACAGAGCTGTAGATGATTCCAATCGATCAGTTAATCTTCCCTTTGATATAAGTAAAATCCTTTGTACTTATCCTCGGAAGAGAAAAGATATCAGAGGTCTTCAAATGTTTCAGATCGGCGACCTGTCATCGTTCCTGGCTGGAGGGCTGACTTGCATCCGGCGCGGAGATTTGTTTGTTTCTTGGTCGGCTTGTAGAGAAGACCAGAATCCATAAAGCATTTTGATGAACAATTCTATTTCAATCAAGTTAAATCCTGGAGGCAAAGGCCCGCATTGTTGTTTGACGTTGGACAAAATCACTTTCGACTTGATCGTACAGTAATTCCACAGTCACGATGAAGTTCAGTCAAAGTACTAGTCGATAACAGCTTGTCTCAACTATGAAGCATTTGATATATTTTGTGCGTGACAACGTAGAGCCGGTACGCCCTTTCATAAACTTATAGCATTTGAATAATGCTCAATTAAATGGATCTTGAGCTTTTGAATCTCACACACGCGAAAATATTGACATAGTTTGCGATGCGGGTTGCACATAAATTAGCTTCTCAGGAATATTTAGGCTGTGCACGTGACCAGCCGATGCCAGGGCCTTTTCCCGCCCCACCCGTGTTTTAAGGGAAAAGCCCTGGGGACGAGGTTGCATTAACTGGGATCCGTATTAAGTGGGTTGAATTTAGAGAAAAAGAAAAGCGAGTGTCCGTAAAGCTTAGTTCGACTGTATCTGAGGAAGGATAAAGGGTAGTTATAACAGGTAAATGCGCTTTATTTCCAATTATCCATTATTTACCTTCTTTTCTCTTGCATTACTTTTCTGTTTCGTTTTTAATTTCTTTTTATCTTCGACATTTGCTGAGATACGCACGTCTTAATTTTCTCCTGGTATTACCAGCACAGTTTGCGCAAAAGGGTAATCAATCCGAAAAAGCGCCGTCTTTGCGCTGCTGGGACGCAAGACGCTTATGGATGCAGATCCTTTCAAAATTTGCAGAGACGCGTTTCGTATTGTTTAGGGATTCGTCTGGGTTATTCTACAGTGGATTCAGTATATGCGGGTGCTGCGTTCAAATTTTTTGCTGGGTAACCCAGCATCTGGCATCCTCATCAAGCAGCCTCGTACCCAGGCCAGTCCTCGCTACCCGAGTTACCAGAGGATGCTTGGAACCTAGTGCGAGACGTCACATCCGAAATCGCCGAGGACGACTGAGAAGGAGGCCGTTCATTAAGCAGTAATAAGTTACTGCTGGGCAGTTTCAGGCTCACATTTCGCCTAAGCAGGCTACGACTCTCTTCTTCCAAAAAAAAGAATTAAATTTGCTATCACGCCCTTTGGAACAACGCCTTTTGATGAAATCATGCTCACCTTCGAAGCGTCTCAGTGCGACAGCTTGATAGACCAAGCCTTTTTTAAGCACGCTTCTTTTTCGATGACAGCTAGGGGACCTTGAAAGGTTTTGAGGATTGCCCAAAGTCCTCTAACATTAGTACCTTGAAAATCCGTATTTCCAACTTGCAATAAGTTCCACAATAATGTATAATTATTATATTTTATTAATTCTATTAGCTGTGAATTTAATTGTGACTCATTATTTAGCGAGATTTTTCAAGAAAAAACAAGTGATATTGCATTCAGTTAAATTCTGGCAGATTTTACCAGTTTCGCAAGATTGTTTGTTTTATTTTGACAGATTCGACTTTTATTAACTGCCTTTATTGAACTTTACATTTTCGCTTCATCGATCGAGTAAATTTTGAAATACAAATAATAGAACTTAGCCGTGATGCCTATCATCATATGAAATAATAAAAAAATAAGCATATTTTTCCTTAAAGACTTATTTTCATTTGAATAATAATAATAATAAATAAAAATAACAAATCGTACTATGAACCTCGTTTCTTTGAGTAAAGAGCATACCTGAGGACGTGAAAGGTATTCACAAAATGTAGAACTGAAAAGAAAAACAAGTGGGCCGGTGATATACGATTTATAAACCCTAAGCAAACGTACTATAATGAAAAGGATTATAACAAATTTGATTCAGTTAAACTGTTAATCATAACTATAACAAAATTGTCAAATCTGATTGGCTCTCAACTGCCCAGATTTCAGCCTTAATTGGACAGTTTAATAGGACAGTACGCGTCATGCCTAAGTAATTGGACAGTACGCGCCATCACGCGCGCGCTTAAATGGCTTTTTTTTTTCACTGCTAGCAAAACAAAATTTCGAATTTCTTGTGTTTTGATTTAAAAAATAGCCTATTGTATCACAAATTTTGTTAAAGTTATGATTAAATGGTAACAGAACTTCGTGTCGTCCTAGTCAGTCTGTAATCATACTCGTGATTAAACAAATCGGACTCCCGCTACGCGGTCGTCCGATTTTGTTAATCACTCGTATGATTACAGACCGAATTGGACTCCACTCAGTCCTGTTACCATTACTTATTTTTTTAGTGACTTCTCGGTACTTCTTTAGGGTCACTCTAAATATTTTGAGATCAATATATCACTAATCCCCTCAGTTGGGGAGCGAAACGACTCGTAGCTATCTCCCTAAACTTGTATTGCATATGTTTGTGCGATATTCAAACTTTGTGCAGCTATATCATAATTAGTAGCGCGTTGTTTGATAGTGAAATGGCGTCTAAACAAATACTAGGCGTGTAACAATATAGAGGGCCACTGGTTTATCAGCTTTTTTTGTTATGTGTTTACCTTCTTTTTAATAAAGTTGACTGATTGATTTATATCTAATATTGTAAGGCCAAAAACTAATACATTACCGTACAACATGATTACCACAGTCACAGAGTCTTGTTCCTGAAAAAAAGGGAAAAAAAGGGAAAAAAAACCTAAGTTTCAAGGTAAGGAAGTCACACAAAATGTCCTCATTTTCAATGTTAGCTAACAAAAATGTAAGATTATCAAATTAGTCAACGTGGCCAGATGCGAAAACTGAAGTTATGGTCGGTATAAACTGAATATGCTTTTAGGTTTTACAGCGGCAGGCTTGTATAACCTTTTCAGTTTACTGACACTAGGAGCTGTTGCTTCTGGGAAATGCTTCACATGCAGATATTAATTTTCCCGTTAGCAGACAAAGAATTGAACACTGTGCCTAACTAATAGCCAAATGTAATTATTAGACCAACTGAGTTTACTATGAAGTAATAATTGAGTTAGGTACTAAATTTTATGCTTCATCCGTGCGAAATAATTATATTTGTCAGTTCCAATAAGCCAAAGAGGCGCGTAGTGCCGAGTTCGCTATAACTATCTCATATCCAACAAGCGCGAATGAAATAATTGTTTTATTAAATTTTTTTTAAACTCCAAACGTCTGGTTATTACAACAGAATTTTAGAAGATCGAAATCACATGATATGTGTGCCGTTTGCGAACATAGTTGAATGAAAATCTGAAAGGGAAGGACGCTGTGCTTAAATTATTCTCGACAAGTACTGTTTTCGCTTTCCCTCGCCGTGACTGTGGAATTTGAATTGACGCTGGATAGGGCGACCTGATCGCTCGCCAATTTCGTTTTCTTCCTCCACTGAATCGTAGCTGCACAAAGGCCCAGCTTTATTAATCAATTTGTTGTTGTTGTTCAATGGAAAGCCGCTCGTTGTAGGATTCAATAGAGGCCCGTTATGGACTTGCGAAAGTGTTAAGAGGTTTACAAGCTCTTTAAACACGCAAAAAATCTGCTAATAGTTTTCAAAACTTACTCCTGCAAGGACTTGCAAGCAATCTGAAAAAATTTAAGGTAAACTTTGTTGTTGGTGGTGGATTGTTGACTTGTTGTTGTTGTAATCCGCTCGACGTACGGAAGAATAAAACTTGTTATTTCTTTAAATTTGCCATAGAGATCCGTACAATTAAACAATTTCAACCTAATGTTTGTCGCTGCCGGTATGCATTTTGTCTTGTCGGTAGAAACTCGCGAAATCTACTTCTTTTCGCCACTTTGTCCTAGCGTTTTCCATATTAGGTCAAACACAAGGTAACCGAGATTGGGTGAACCAATCAGAATGCTAGACATGCATTAATTATCCGAGGTTGAAAATTTAATAATTTGGTTTATCGCAGTATCAATGTCAGGCACGAACGGCAACTTTCGGTCAAACAAATTAGATCAATACATTATAACACTCAGTTGCACTCTTCTTTGCAGAAAACTAAAAGAGCAAACACATGTTTCTCACTGTGTCCATTACGTTTGGGGTTATCTTTGTACTAGAAGCAATCATTATCATTACTGGAAACACGTTCACTGTATTTGTCTTCTGGACACAGCGAACCCATCTCAAGCGAACATGCGTTCTTCTGATTAACCTTGCAGTCGCAGATATGCTTGTCGGGATCGCAGAGGGCATTCTTCTTGGGAGGGAAAAATTTCCAGGAATGACAGGGCTTGCAAGTGATGAGGGAAAAGTTCAGTGGAAAAAAAATCCTGGGCCAGCGTTTCAACTCTTCGCCTCAAGTGTATCCATATATTTCCTCGCGCTAGTCTCTTTAGAACGCGCTTTCGCCGTGCTGTGCCCGTTCCGTCATCGCACCACAAAAACTCGATTTTACATTTACAGTGTAATTGTCATCTGGGTTATTGGACTTTTTACGCTCGGCCTTTATTTGGTAGCCTTATATTACCCGCCAAAAGTAAAGAGAGAACATGTTAGTGTCACCGTTCACTCTTGTCTTTTGATTTCATTGTGTGTGATCTGTGGCAGTTACCTGAAAATACGCAATCGACTGCGATCACCTGCACCCGAACTCGACGTTCTAAGTCGTCAATCTGCTGAGCGCAATCTACGACTTTCAAGAACAATTTTTGTTACAATTGCTGTATCCCTTGTGTTCTGGATACCAGCTATTGTTGTGTACATAGCGAGGGACTTATGCCATCGATGTTTTTCGCCAACCATGATTATAACTGTGAATGCTTTGCATCTGGCGAATTCGATGGTGAATCCATTCGTCTACAGTTCCAGGATGCAGATATTTAAAGACGCGCTGAAGAAGCTATCGCGAAAAAGACGTCAAAAGGTGGATGTGAGTTCCTGTCCCAAAACAAGGAAGGGATTGAGGTCAGAAAATGCATTTCAGCGTCCGAGAATGGATCCTACATCCTGCCCATCTGGAATTGAGCAAGAATTGGGTCAAGTGGAACCTTGTAAGCGAAGTTAAACCTTCACCTTTATTAAGTTAGTAATATAAGACCGGTGAGGCATCACACAAACTGTTAAAAAAAGTAAAGAAACACGTATATGTTGACCAGGCTAGTTTGTATTTAGTTCCTAAATGTAGTGACTTTCTCCTTGAACACAGCTAGCGATAGAGAAAACACTACCACTGCTGATTCCACTCCCTAAAGATCCTTGCCGGAAAAAAGAAGAATTTGAGGGCATTCTTAGAGCTAAAGGGTGTCTGGAATTTATACGCATGGCTGTTCCGTGTTCTTGTTTTCTTGGAGAATTGCAAATAATTAACAATTGATCTGATCCTTGCAATTTTTCTTAAGTCTGTGGCATTGTGTTTTTGGAAAAAAGTCGAGTTCCAGTATGGAAAATATCGCAAATAGGTTGTTCTTGTAATGACGTACCAACTTAGCGCAGCTGCTCCCTTGAAATTCATGAACTGAATTTGATCGGCAGTTTACGCCTAAAACTGTGAACTCGGCTGTGTGGCCATAACAACGCAGCGGTAGATCGAACTAAGATCAGGGAGAGAGAGTTGCTTTACAGTGAGATAAAGTAAGCGTGTAATTACAAAAAAGAAGAAAATAGAGTACAACAACTTGAAAGAAAGAATTTGTGGACTGAGTTTCTGAGTCTTCTGTATAGCCGACTGAAGAGCTAGTTCCCCATCAAACAGTCCTGCTATCACACTGGTGGAGTAACAGACGCTGAAAAATCAAGATATTTTGCAATAACCGAGTTCAATAATTGTTTTATCATTTGATCACCGAGTTTGAGGAATATCTTCGGGAGGCGAAGCGATCTGCCAGCTACAACCAACAGCGATTGCAAGAAGGAGAAAAGCGTGGTTTCATTTACGCAAATATAGAATATTATTATTGGCAGGGAAACAAAGTTGGATGACATTGCGCATGAGCAGAACATTATTTGTAGGCAGTTATTTGCAGGTCACGCGGAGAGCTCTCGGCCAATAATACGAAGAAAGATTTGCAAAGAATGATAATTATGTAAATTAAAATCAACGAGCCCGTGAACAATTGTGTACATCATACATAGGCGACCTAGTTTTCTTCGCGTTTCAAGGGGTTCATCGCATCCGAGCCTTTTGTTCCCTCTATGATTATCGTGGTGGTTGTTATAATGTCCGTCAAGATCATCGCTTGTCGTGGTCATCATAGCCTTTGTCATGTTCGTAGTCCCACGTTACCGCCGCCTGGTTAGCTCAGTAGCAAGAGCGCCGGTTTGCTGAGCAGGAGGTCACGGGTTCAAATCCCGGCCGATCCAACACTCATGGTCTTTAATAAACTGAAAAGAAAGAGCTGCCTTTGTAATGACATCTGCAAACGGTTAGACCTTCTATTATTCTCGGATAAGGACGAAAAATCGTAGGTCCCATCCCAGAGAACTTTTACTTAGCTGGTTCTTGTGGGACGTGAAAGAACCAACATCACTGTTCGGAAAGATAGGGCCAACCTTTCCTGGGCTGGCCGGTTGGCTTATAGGTAAGGAGAGATCTCAATATCAGGATAATGATCTAAAATCATGATCCTCCTTCAGGAAGTTTTCATGAGGACGGAGTCGAAGTCGGAAACGTAATCATAAGTGTACAACTTTACGGTAGCTTCCAAGTGAAAACTAAGGTTGTTGGAGTCGCAAGCAAAAGCGAAACAACTAAACCAATCATAAAGCGTAGGAAAGAGCATTGCGATTGGCTTATCCTTCTGCTTCTGCTTCCAACACCGACTATATCTGGTTTCCACGAGATCGCAAACGACGGAGTCGTAAGCGCAAGTCGAAAGAAGATGGAGACGTCCTGATTCTCCCGACTCCGATTTCTGATTTTTACTAAATCATAAGCGCTCTTACGACTCCGCTTAAGACTTCGACTCCGTCGCTAGTGAAAACCAGAAATTACATATATTGCGATGTTGATAGTCAATAAACCTTGTTTAACGATATTTTGCCGTGACAGTTGATAAATATAATAATAATAATGATAGTAATTATTATTATTATTATTTTTTTTAAATTGTGATTTCGAGTTTTTATTGTCATTTTTGCTTTTACAGTCAAACCAGGTCAAGCGTTCCCGTCGCTAACGAACTAATGAATTCATTCACGGAAAAATGATTTCGTTTGTTGATTCAATAATCCATTCATAAAATGAACAATCCAATAGTCATATTTAGCCTCGATTCAATAATCGAATGTTGATTCGATTACTGTTTTTTGAAAAATTACACTTTCCACAAGTTGACCTCAGAATTTTGTTTTTTCCTCTTTTTTTTCTGAGAGTCGAGTGCTGGCGAGTTCTGAAGTTCAAACCAAACAAACTGTTACATGTACGCCAGTTTGCTGCCAATAATCAGTGCAACAGACCTAGGCCTGACCTCTTAGAAAACACGACGGTCAAACTGAGGTCGGTGTATGTGCGGTGATTGGTGGATTTCGATCCTCGGCCTTTGTCAGTTTCTTTGCGTTTGCGGTCTGTCTATTCTAGCTGTTATTTTGATTAAAGGCAATGAAAAACGCAATCGTAAACGGCAGGAAAAGGGAAGCAAACACGATTGAACACAACAGACAAGAATAAAGAACAGGTAGATTTTGTTCATAAACCAAATCAACATTTGATTATTGAATCGAGGTACAATTTGACCGTTGGATTATTCATTTTATGAATGGATTATTGAATCAACAAACGAAATCATTTTTCCATTAATGAATTCATTAGTTTGTTAGCGACGGGAACGCTTGACCTGGTTTGACTGTATAAATTGTAAATAGTTTGTAAATAGTTCCTGAAAAACCTCACGAGGATGTTACTATTAAAGTTATTATTATTATTATTATTATTATTATTATTTTATTAATAATACAAAACTTTATTCATAGATTTTAAAAAAAATAGACTATTTACAGATACAAGAATATGTTAGTAGTAGTAGTAGTAGTAGTAGTAATAGTAATAAATAGTAATAAATTGCTTTATTTGCATGACCGCATCACTTTACAGTATTGCAAAAGCATGTATATTACAATCAAAATAAAAAACAAAACAGCACTAATAACAATCTAGGAAAATTCGGTTACATTACTAACAATGAATAACATATTTTCATGCAGGAGGAGACAAACTTCATAACTAACTTATTTACATGATGTTCCTTTGAATTCATTATCAGTTTTATGCTTTCCGGAGATGATTTCTTGTCAAAGTCAGGTATTATTCGATTGATTTGATTAATAAATGCCTGTCTATGTACTGAGTATTTGTTACATTGAAAGAGGAAATGAATCTCATCTTCTACCTGATTTGAGTTACATAAAGGACATAATCTATTTTCTCTTGGCAAATGATCGATTTGGTATCGACCATGTTCAATCATAAGTTTGTGATTACTTATTTTAAATTTAACAAAATTCTGTCGTTCGTCATAATGTCTTAGCTGGTAGAGATAATCAGATGTAGAATATTCATCTTTAAAAGTTTTATAAAATTCTAGTTTTTGAATTTTCGAGGCTGTGCCGCCAAAAAGATAGATATTTCTCTCTCATTTCTGTGGTATATCGTCTAATTTTATCATTATCTAGAGATTCAGCATCTAAACTGGTTAGATTGTATTGTTCAAGCATGTTTATGAAATTGGAAAAATATCCGGAATTATTCATAGAATGTAGATTCTTTGACATAAGGAAAGACTGTTTGACTATAGAGTCATTATCTTTGTTGTTGAGGTAAACAAAATATTTCATAATTTTCTGATTTATCGGGATAAGCAGCGGCAGTCTATCAAGTTCAGCTCTGCAGGCTATGTTAGAGGCCTTATTGTTAACCTCTAAGTAACGTTTACAGAATTTGAGGTGGATTTTTTCTATTGGGGAGCTATCCCATTTTTTAAAATCTTGCTTGGTGTACATTCCCCATACCTCGCTGTTGTAACTCAAGATTGGGAATACCATGGTGTCAAAAATTTGGGATGCAGTATTAGGATTAAGTTTGTTAAGAATTGTCCGCTTCCGAATACTAGAAAACGCGTGAAGGGCCTTTTCTTTTAAGTGTTCGAGTGCAAGTGTAAAGTTACCCGTTGGAGTTAAACGTGTGCCTAAATAAGTGTATTCTTGGACAATTTCAATTGACTCATTGCCTATGTTGAATTTGACGTCAATAGATTTTTTTGGGCGTTTCTGGAATATCATAATTTTTGTTTTCTTGGGATTAATTTTTAGCTTCCATTTGTCACAATACAAAGAAAGCGCATTTAAACAGTTCTGTAATCCAGTTTTCGATCTTGATAGAATAACTAAATCATCTGCGTACAAAAGTGAATTTATTTTTTTCCCATTTGGGAGAACAAATGGGTCAGATAAGGTGTTTTCGAATAAAAGTGGTAGATTGTTTAAATAGAGGTTAAATAAAAGAGGGCTTAAAATACAGCCTTGACGTACACCTCTGGAATATGAAAAAGGCTGTGTTTTGTTTTCACCGATTTTGATGGAACATGTCGAGTTGCAATAAAGGCTTTTCAGGAGGTTGTACAAGTTTCCTCCTATATTCGTTTTTAGCAGCTTATAAAACAATCCTTCGTGCCAAACAGAGTCAAACGCTTTGCGGAAATCTACGAAACAAGCGTAGACTTTTTCCTTGTGATAATGCACATATTTATCTATTAGGGTCCTTAGAGTGAAAACATGGTCTGCAGTGCGGTTTTCAGGCAAAAAGCCAATTTGGGAATTATGTAATATCTTATTTTCCTCAAAATACAAGTGAAGTCTTCGATTTAAAATAGAACAGAACAGTTTTCCAAGGCAACTAGAAACACATATGCCTCTGTAATTTGTTGGATCACTCTTGTCACCAGATTTGTAAATTGGGGTTATGAG